CCTATCACAGTACCATTTATCTTTAATTATAGTATTTACAATATGATCTTATTTCCAGAAATGTATTTACTTTTAAGTTCAGAATTGCATCTATTTATCATGTTCAACCTATTAGGTGATTGCTCCTATCATAAATCATATATCCACTGTAATTATAATATAAAGATTGCTTTTCTTGGGAATATTCTTTCTTCAATTGCTCTTCATGTGTTATAGTCAGCTTTTCTTTCTTTAACTAAAATACCCAAGAGAAGTTTCTTAGGAGTAAACACAATTTGTTTTGGAGGTTCACAGTCCAAGATCACACAGCCCATTACCCTGTTGTCTCCTGAGGGTGCTAAAATGTGTGTGGAGGGAGGCTCACTTAGCAAACCAGGAAGCACACTCTTATTCCTTTTATGTGGATCCTCCTCATAGAAGCTATCACGGTTCAATCCTGAGGCTCCACCCTAACAACCTAATTCAATTCAATCATTTCCCAAAAGCCCCATCTTCAAGCACCATAATTGGATCAAGCCTCCTCCCTTCATCCATCAGCCATTAATCCATTAACTGTTAACAAACGACTTCGGGGTTTAAATGGATGCATTTTGGAGGGCCAAATCCTATTCAAACCATAACACCATGCTTCTAACTCCATTATATAGCAAGGAATTATCCAGGTTATTGGTATTTATTATTGGTGCTACCTGCAACTTTACTAGTGTGTTAGGTCACAATGAACCGTGATCATTACTTTCATATATTTCATTACTTTCACATATTCCAAAATGTTACATGTCTCTACACATAACTGTCCCTTCTATTGGCAAATGACATGTTTTTTCAATGTCTTAAAAATTTTAATTGATATAAAATAATTGTACATCTTTATGGGGTATAGTGTAAAATTTTAATATATGTATGTATAATGTTCAGATTAGGGTAATTGGCATGTACCTCACCTCAAACATTTCTTATTATATTGGGAACATTCAAAATCCTTTCTACTAGCTGTTATGATATATACAATTATTCCTTTCATTCACCTATACCTCTGTACCCATTAAACATCCTCTCTCCTTACCCCGCCCCTTCTTCCCAAACCTGTGGTAATTACCATTTTACTCCCTACTTCTAGGAGATCAACTTTTTAAACTATTGTATGTGAGAACATGAAGCATTTGTCTTTCTATGCCTGCCTTATTTCACTTAACATCATGTCCTCCAGCCTCCTCTATGTTGCTACAAATGCAGGGTTTCCTTCTTTTTTAATGGTTAACTAATATTCTATTATTTTATCTTCTTTATGTATTCATCTGTTGATAGACACCTCGGTTGATTCCCTATTTTGGTTATTGTGGGTAGCACTGGAATGAACATGGGTGTGCAGGTGTCTGTTCAACATACTGATTTCCTTTCCTTTGGATATGTAACCAGTAGTGGCATTGCAGGGTTATATGGAAATCGCACTTCTAGGTTTTTGAGGAACTTCCACAGTATTTTCAATAACTGATATACTAATTTACGTACCTATCAACAGTGTATAAGAGTTCCTCCTTTCTCCTTATCTTTGCCAGCATAAGAAGTGGTTTGATATATGGTTTGCATCCATAAAGTCAAAAGAAATAGATATTTTACATAAGCCCTTTCAAGAAAAGGTGAAGTGAGGAATAAAGCTTTAGAGGCAAGTTTCTGGAGGACCTGTATGCCATTTATGAGAATCCGAATTTGATTCTGTGGACAATGAGGAGCCATTCAAAGTTTCAAGTACAGAAATGTGATTATTGCCTGCCTTGCCCAATAAGTGAATGACCACAATTTTCCTTATAGAAAAATTGACATGATGACTTTGGAATAAGGTTTTTGGGGAAGTAAGATTAGAAGCAGGAAAATTACTTAAGAGTTTGTGAAAAGATGGCAGAGCCTGAACCAACGGTATATCAGAGCCAGCTAGAAAGCCAGATGTGCTCAGCCCTTCCAATCTTCAGGTTCAGTAACTTGGTAGCTTGAAATTAGCCATGGTAGGAGTATTTATATCACCGACATCAGCAAAAACTACAAATTAGGGCTTTCTTTTTTAGGGAGCTGCTGTACTAGTATATCACTGTCCTGAACAAAAGCAACAGCAATGAACCTGGTAAAGACAAGATACATAGTAGAGTGGTTTAATGAGATGAAATCAGCAACAGTCAGCACCAGCAGGTTGACAGAGTCAGAGTACCAATGGGGAGAGTCCAGAATGATTTATCAATAGTTGACTCAAACGACTGAAGAGAGAAACAGGTGTTTTGTTTTTTTTTTTTCTTTTTTTTTTAGAGAGGAGCTCAAGGTAGGGGAAAGACAATGAGATTTGTTCAGGAAATGCTGAAATTGAAGTACCCCTGGGACACGATGGTGAAGATATCCATTAGACAATGCTGGTATGCTATAGAACTAAAAGGCAAGGTCTGGATTCAATATAAAATGGTGGGAATCATGAGGCTATGACTGATAGTTGAAGTCATGGGAGTGGATAAACTTTTAAAATAAAGGGAGAGAACCCTGGGAAAGGCTGCAGTGTCTTTATGTTTTATAGACATAAATGAAACCATATGTCTTTTTGTTCAAAAATAGCTTGAGTAAGTAGGCAGAGATATGTCTTTGTAATACTGCATTTACAATAGAATTTCATGGCAATGTGAGTGAGTTCTAAGTAGACTGGTAACTGATAAAAACTGAAATGTTTCGGGTTGGCGCTGTGGCGCAGTGGGTTAACGCCCTGGCCTGAAGTGCTAGCATCCCATATGGGCGCCGGTTCAGGACCCAGATGCTCTACTTCCTGTCCAGCTCTCTGCTGTGGCCCGGGAAAGCAGTATAAGATGGCCCGGGTCCTTGGACCCCTGTGCCCACGTGGGAGACCCGGAAGAAGCTCCTGGCTCCTGGCTTCGGATTGGCACAGGTCCGGCTGTTGTGGCCATTTGGGGAGTGAACCATCGGATGGAAGACCTCTCTCTGTCTCTCTGCCTCTCCTCTCTCTGTGTAACTCTGACTTTCAAATAAATAATAAAATTAAAAAAAAAACCTGAAATGTTTCACATTTGATTTATAAGAACTTAACAGCAAAATTTATTAAAATGACCCTTGAAAATCACAAAATATTGCTTAAATATCCAAAAGTTTAACTTTATATCAAACACCTGAAATACCAAAAACATTCCAGAGAAATGAAGGGGAAATGCATTATTTTAGAAATCACCTTAAACGTAACTAAGACATTCCAGCCCATACTTAAGTCTATCTTGGCATGGAGTCATTTTTGTTTACTTCTTTGCCTCTGCCTCTAGATTTTGGGGGCAGGGAGAGATATTATGAATCTACATTTTGGGATTTGAACATGGTATATGGTCATAAAAAATAAATGAAGAAATGCTTTTTCCATGACAGAATGGCAGGTTTACACAGATGATCTCCAAGGTCTCTTTTAGCCCTGAGATTCCGTGTAAAGGGAAATGGTGATTGATTATTATTTACTACGTAAAAGAAGTGGGCTGTGCCCTTTGTAGCTCAAAAGGGGCAGTTCTGAAACTACAAAAAGGTGTGGTCTCCGAGCTCTATATTACACTGGGAAGAATTTTCTAACAATTATAGTCGGAAAGAAGAAAGGCCAGAAAGAAGAACTGATATCTTGGAAATATCTAGTATTTAAAATCTGGGAGAGCCTCGATGTCTTTAGATCTTCATAATTTTTCACACCACTGCCTAAATAGAAAAATGGAATTCGTACAACACAAAACAGAAACTGTGGGGCTGCACTGTGCCATAGCAGGTAAAGCTGCCATGTGTGGTGCCAGCATCCCATACGCCAACGGTTGTTCCAGCTGCTCCACTTCCGATCCAGCTCTCTGCTATGGCCTGGGAAAGCAGGGGAAGATGGCTCAAGTCGTTCAGTCCCGGCACCCACGTGGGAGACCCGGAAGCAGCTCCTGGCTCCTGGCTGCATATTGGCCCAGCTCTGCACCCACGTGGGAGACCCGGAAGCAGCTCCTGACTGCATATTGGCCCAGCTCTGGCGCTGTGGCTATGTGGGGAGTGAACATGCGCATGGATGATTTCTCTGCCTCTCTTTCCAATTCTGCCTCTCAAGTAAATAAATAATTTTTTGACAGGTAGAATTAGACAGTGAGAGAGACAGAGAGAAAGGTCTTTCTTTCTGTTGGTTCACCCCCCAGATGGCCGCTAAGGCTGGCGCACCGCGCTGATCCGAAGCCAGGAGCCAGGTGCTTCCTCCTGGCCTCCCATGCGGGTGCAGGGCCCAAGGACCTGGGCCATCCTCCACTGCACTCCCGGGCCACAGCAGAGAGCTGGCCTGGAAGAGGGGCAACCGGGACAGAATTCGGCGCCCCGACAGGGACTAGAACCCAGTGTGCCGGCGCCGCAGGCGGAGCATTAGCCTAGTGAGCCGCGGCGCAGGCCTATAATTTTTTTTAAAACTGTACAGCCCATCATTCAATAACTCCAGACGTTCTTTTCACATGGTCTCAAGAGTTCGGTTGAGAAAATTCTGCCCCAGTCCAACATTCTCACTTGGTGAGGGGGTAAAGGAATCTTATGTCGGGGGTGTGACAGTCCCAGGGCAAGACCTTCAGGTTGATTCTGGGACAACTAACTGGGCGGACCATGTCCTCGCCACTCAAAGCAGGCAGGGTTGGAGGTCAGAGTTGACGCTTGTGTGCCTTAGATGGGAGGCTGGTCTAAACCTAGATTCAGTGTGGTTCCAGCCCCACCGGCAATGAACTCGTGTTAAAAACGCAGACGCGGGCCCCCACACACCTGCTAGCTCAGGCTCTGAGGGAAGGTCCGGGGATCTGCGAATCGCCTGCGCTCTGACCACCATTTGCGGCGCACAACAGCCAGAACCACGCACAGCAGGCCCGCGTCCCCGTGGCCGGACTGTCTGTTACGTACAGGCCGTCCAGGCCGTCAGTGCGGACGCCGCGCCTGCCAGTGCCCGGTCGGGGTGAGGCCTGCGCCGGCTCTCTACCAGCCTCCTCGACCGGAGGAGGAAGCGACTGCGGGAGGCGGCCGGGGGCAGAGGCGGCGCCGCAGCGCCTCCTCGAGGTCAGGGCCCTCCGCAGGTCAGCCGGCTGCGCTTTCCCTTCGCCCGCCCCGGTGACCCCTCCTGCTTCGTCGCAGCCCCGCCCACCCCCGGACTGACTACAGCGCCTGCGCACGTTCTGCCCCGGCCCGCCCCTCGTCTCCCGACCGGATGTCAGCAGGCTTCCCATAGTACCTCGCGAGTGGCGGGCATGATAACAGATCCAGGAGGGTAGCACGCGGGTTCGGGTTGTTGCTGTTGTTGTGCCTGTTCTTTCGGAGGTTGGGGTACGGGCACTGCCTAGTCCGCCGGTGCGATGGCGCTTCTCCGGGGCATGTGGGGCGCGCTGAGGACCCTGGGGAAGTCTGGAGCGGACCTGTGCGCGGGCTGTGGGAGTCGACTGCGCTCACCTTTCAGGTAGGACCACTCACCTGCCCCCCCCCCCCCCGGGGGGGGCCCTGGACGTCCCTGGGCATGCAATGGGGACTCCGTCCCTTACTCTTTGCTCTTGCTAGGCGGTCAGGGCCACCTTGGCCCTCTGGTTTAGACCTCGACCTTGCGGAGGAGATGGTGGCTGCGAGCCCGGGCCCTCCTCCGGTAGTCCCCGGTGCCCTGCTTCCTGTTTCCCCCCACCCCTGCAGCCGCTCCTCCCTGCCGTCCAGCCTGGGCGCACCTGGCGGGGTCCTCTGCGAAATCGCGCCTCGTCTCCCGCCATCCTATAGGTGTGGAGGAGGCGGGGCTCCAGAGCCAGCGTTTGGATGCTTTGCTTCGTTCTCTGTCCTTCCTGGGAAGTCGGGGCTTTGAGACTTGAGCCCTACAGGCACTTCCCTCTGGGTAGGACAGGGTTTTAAATAAGGCCTAAGCATTCTTATCAAAGGAGACGGGTAGAAAGCATCTTGATGACATTTTCTTTGAGAGCCGTGTTTATATGCATGTAAATGTTGGGAGTTCCATATTTGACTTTGCTTGTTTTCTTTGTATTTCTGTGTAGTTTTTCGTATATTCCGAGATGGTGTTCATCCACCTTTGGCAGCTATCCAAAGAAACCTATGACTTCATACCTTCGATTTTCTAAAGAACAGTTACCCATATTTAAAGCTAAGAACCCAGGTGAGGAATTTGGGGGGGCTTCTGCTCTTCTCTGATGTAATAAAAAGGCCACTAAGCAGTTAAGGTGAATACTGGCTTTGCACTTTCAAAGCTTCCGGCGTTTGCAGGAGCTGTCATTTTGTGTGATGTCTGTAAAACGAAGTGCAGCATTTTATACCTAACAGAAATGCTTTAGTTGTAAATGAGGAAGGATGAAAGGTATTTTAAAGATACCATGTGGAGCGGACAGCTCCCTGGGCAGAGGAGGAAACAGCCGAAGTTTGGGTCTGATTGTCTTTCTTAGGCCTGGAGTGCTGCTTATGAATCGTGCATAGCTGCTGCTCTTTGTGCCTTGGAGGATTGTTCACAAAGCTCTAATGAAATAACATAATGTGGGAGTGGTCTGTAAAGTTCTGTGCAACTTAGGCTCATTTCAAGAGCTTTCTTGAGTGAAAATTCTGCTTGTTTAGAGTTCTTGAAAAAAGATTTCTAGCTAGGATGTTTATTGACTGCTTCAAAAGGCTATAGGACTTTGATTTGGGGGTTATGGTATAAAGGTAATAGGTAGATTAAGAGTTCGTTTCTGCTTATGATTTCCGAAGCCCCTTTACATCAAATAAGTCATAGGGGACTTGTGAAAAGCAAGTTAGTTACAATAAAAATCCTTGCATTTTAGGTCAGGAGTTAGTTTAAGAGACATACTCAAGTACCCACATCTTTTAAATGTCAGATTTGGAACTAACAGGTGGTTTGTTAAATCAGTTGCACTCCAACATTCCAGTTAATGTGAGGAAAGAAGTGGAGATTATGGATTGATTTTTAGAATAGTTTGTTTCCAGATATTGTTCTGTAATATGCAATATGAGATCGTGTTTTATGAATCAAGACTATAATATAGTTTAGTCAGATTTTTTGAATTTAATAATTCCTGAAAGACTTGAAAAATGTTAAGATTGAAATAGGGAAGTAGGCCGGCGCCGCGGCTCACTAGGCTAATCCTCCGCCTAGCGGTGCCGGCACACCGGGTTCTAGTCCCGGTCGGGGCGCCGGATTCTGTCCCGGTTGCCCCTCTTCCAGGCCAGCTCTCTGCTGTGGCCTAGGAGTGCAGTGGAGGATGGCCCAGGTCCTTGGGCCCTGCACCCCATGGGAGACCAGGAAAAGCACCTGGCTCCTGGCTCCTGCCATCGGATCAGCGTGCTGCGCCGGCCGCAGCACGCCGACCGCGGCGGCCATTGGAGGGTGAACCAACGGCAAAGGAAGACCTTTCTCTCTCTTTCTCTCTCTCTCACTGTCCACTCTGCCTGTCAAAAAAAAAAAAAAAAAACAAAAAAAAAAAAAAGAAATAGGGAAGTAAAAAACTTAAGCAATTAATTATCTGCCTATTTAAACTGGTAATTTCTGAGGACAATTTTGGGTAGTATAGAAAATACTCCTTTCTGATTGGATAATCGGCTTTTAACAAACTTGGACAAAATTGTAAAGTGTTTCTTTTTTTTTTAGAGATTGCAAATCAGGTCTTTTTCTTTTTTAAGATTTATTTATTTATTTGAAAGAGTTACACAGAAGGAGAAGCAGAGAGAGTGAGAGTCTTCCATCCGTTGGTTCACTCCCCAATTGGCCACAATGGAGGGGCCTGCGCCGATCCAAAGCCAGGAGCCGGGAACTTCCTCTTGGTCTCCCACACTGGTGCCGGGACTCAAGGACTTGGGCCATTTTCCACTGCTTTCCGATCCAGCCATAGCAGAGAGCTGGATTGGAAATGGAGCAGCCGGGATTTGAAACAGCACCCATATGGGATGCCAGCACTGCAGGCGGCAGCTTTACGCACTACACCACAGCGCTGTCCCAGTATTTATAATATTTAAGTTAATGGGATGAAGTTAACCTGTTGTATTAAGTGTGTGTAATGTAACTTGCTTTGTTGAGCTCATGGATTGTGCTTTCTTGGAAATCTATAGCAATTCATCCTGAGCCATAAAATTGTGACATCTCTTTTCATTATATTCCAATCCATAGAGGCAAAAAATTCAGAGCTAATTAAAAGAATTGCCGAGCTGTGGAGGGAACTTCCTGATTCAGAGAAAAAGGTAAGCACACAGGTTTTCAGATACCTGCAGTTGCTACTCTACAGTTTGGAAGAGACAGATAGAGACAGTTGGCAGAGACAGAGAGAGAGATCTTCTACCATAGATTCACTCCCCAAATGCTCACCACGGTTGGGCTGGGCCAGGCCAAAGCCAGGTTCCCAAAACCCAATATAGGTCTCCCACCAGGGTGTCAGGGACCTAAGTACTTGAACCGTCTCCTGTTGCCTTGCAGGGTATGTGTTAGCAGGAAACTAGAATCAGAAGCAGAGCCGGGACTCAAACCCAGGCACTCTGGGTTTCCCCAAGTGGCATCTTAGCCGCCTGTACCTCCCCAAGTGGGAGGCAGGCACCCCAAGTGGCAGCTTCACTGCTGCACCAAACGCCTGCCTCCATGTCTTAGAACCAGCTGGCCCCGGGGCTTTTTTTTTTTAAACATTAATTATCTACAAAGGAACTTTATACTTTCTGATATCCTTAAGTGGTGATACATATGGATGTATGGGGGTGGAGATGAGAGGTTGCAGCCATTAGAAAATGGAAGCTAATTGCTAGATTCTTACATTGGTCAGCATGAGAATACTTTAAAGTTCGTAGAAAATGGAATTAAAACTATTTTGGTGCAAAAAATTTGAAATCTATTTGTAGTTTTTTCATACTGTGTATTTTCTGTGAAATTTTTAATGACACCTGTGCATGAATTTTGGTTTTATTTGCACCACAATAAACTTTAATCTCTGCATACTTCATCTAAGAGCACATTTTTCATCTAGTGGTCCCGCCTGCCTTTATTTGAAGTCATGCAGTTGTCTTTCTCTGGCAGATGTGTTATGTTGAATTTGATAGCAACAATTTGCTGACTTCTTATTTGGGTTTCTTTTGTTTATAGGTATATGAAGATGCTTACAGGGTAGAGTGGGAGGCCTACAAAGAAGAGATTAGCAGAATTCAAGAACATCTAACTCCAAGTCAGATGCTATCTATGGAAAAAGAAATCATGCAAAAACGTTTAAAAAAGAAAGCATTAATGAAAAAGAGAGTGAGTATCATTGAAATACTCTTTTCTAATTGCAAAGAACTGAGGTTTATATAACTATGACTATATGTAGATTTCCCTTATTTTGATAATACATAGATATGATGTGTTAGGTATCATCAGGTGTACTTCAATTAGGCAAAGATGGACAAAGATGTACTGTCTTCTGCCCCTAGAACTGCTTGCTATTGAGAATCTTGCTGATTCTTAACTGCTCTCAGATGTATCCAGATTTCAGATATACAATTTACAGGACTAGCATGAAAGCTACAGGAACAATTAGGAAACAGCCTAATCAAGAATAGTAAGAATCTTTGCTTCTGAGTCTTGTGTAGAATAACCTAGTAATTTGAATTGTTTTATAGGTAATGGTGAATTAGATAAGGTAAATTTGATACTGAATTGCTGAATAGACTGAATTCACTCATTAGGACATCAGGGGAAAGTGCTAATTTATCTAATCAAGGAAGAAATGCCTTTAGGATGGTATTCTATTTTTCCTCAAGGAAATATCTTTTAAAAACCGTTACATGGTTTGAAATTTGTTGTTCCATTTAAAATATTAATCTATGTATATGCCATTGTTTTTCTATTGAATCTGATATTAGTACAGTTGTGAGGTGGTGAGCTTGTGGACTAGTACATATACTGTAAGAAAATGGTCATCAGGGTTAAAGCAGTTTTTCTGAAAAAAATAGATTCCAGCCTTGAATGTGAGATAACACATCGTTTTAAGCTATCCTGCACTAGAGTAACTTAGTTCTAAGCCAGTAGTGGTAATTCAGGGCTGCTGACCCACAGGAGCCAGAAGCTACAGTAACAGTGAGAAAGTATAAGTGGGGATGGCATTTGGAGGGGTAATTACTGTAGCATTTTCTCCCTTTTTCATTCTCCTTTTATCCTTATAGTACTCAGCCTTGCTGAGTGAAGAGGAGCAGAACTGAGAATTGGACAGATATATAGGAGATCTTTTAATTTTCACTTTCTTGAATTTTTTTCCCATTAAAGGCTCCCAGTGCCTTTTAATTCAGAGATCAGCTGAGAAGCCTGAGATCCAGAAAGTTGCAAGTGAAGCATTTAGGAGAAAATCCTTGGCAGTAGTTCAGGAAATAAAGGGGGGAATAGTTAAGTTTAACAAAAAGATGAAAATGCCCACAGTCTGTCTTTTTAAAAGATTTTGTTCATTTATGCCCACTCAGTTTCTGAAAATAATATTTAAAGGAAATGTTTTTGTATGGAAAATAGTTGATGAAATCTTTTATTTTTCAAAGCATAGTACAGTTAAAAAAATTCATACCCTAAGAGATAAGCATTCCATACTTTATGTTAAGAATTGTAACATTCAGTTTAAATTATGTTCTATAACGCATAGTAGTGAATAAATTTCTGTGGGTAAAGTTAATCACATGAGGTTAAAGCTTTATTTTACCTTTCTGTTGTCGATATTCAGGAGTTAACAATGCTTGGAAAACCAAAAAGACCTCGCTCAGCTTATAACATTTTTGTATCTGAAAGTTTCCAAGAAGCTAAAGATGGTTCATCACAGGTAAACAGAACTGTGTTTATTTCTTAGTTTTTTGCTTAATTTAACTTAGTAAATATTTAGAGATGAAATTCTAGGGATGTCATGTCAACTGGTGAAAGAAAGTAGTGACTTACAGAAGTTAAAGCTGTTGATAGGGTCTTCTTTATTAGGTTTCTTTTAAAGAAAAATCCTTTTTTGTTACCATATACAGTTAATTTGAGTATGTTGTTGTCAATACATTGCTAGCTTTTTAAATTTAAAAAACGTAATATTTTCAAATTTATTGAAGTTCTTTTGGAGACTTTTCTGTTTTACAGTCACTGGGAGGAATGAGAATAGAGCTATAATGTTTTGAGCTAGAAATTTAATGTAACGTGTTGTTTCCTGTTGAGTCCTTCAGGAAAATTTTGGGTATGCAGGTGGGATGTGTTACACATGTGAATGTCATAATGTGAATGTGTCAGATAGTTTGTCAGTCACTGCTGTAGCTTAGCTTTTTCATATTTTTCTTAGGAGTTAGTTCTAAATGGGTAATTGTATTTTTTTTCTTGTGATACAAGAAGAAGATGTTCAGATCTTTAGCCTTAGTCTGAAAAGATGAAGTGTTTGGCACTCTTTCTTTTTGGGGTCATTTGTATCTGCAGTTCATGTCACAAATCCTGTTTAACATTTGATTAAATAAAGGTGTTTATGTGACATAGTCTTCATTGGCTACATATTTTCACTTAATTATTCCCCCTGAGATTTTAAATTCAATTTCTGTGGCTCTACATTAGTGAAATGTAAGTGTGTTTGTGTATTTTTAAATTTTTATTTGTTTGAGAGAGAGAGAGAGATCCCTTATATGTTGGTTCATTCCCAAAATGTCTGCAACAGTTGGGTTGGGCCAGGCCCAAACCAGGAGCCTGGAATTCAGTGTGGTTCTTTCAAGTGGGTCCCTGTAGGGACCCAATTACTTTGAGCTGTCATTTGCTGCCTTCCAAGGGTATGTGTTAGCTGGAAGCTGGATTGGAAGTAGAGCCAAGGCTTGAACCCAGATAGTCCAGTAAGGGATATAGGCATTCCAATCAGAATTTTTTTTTTTTTTTTTTTTTTGACAGGCAGAGTGGACAGTGAGAGAGAGAGACAGAGAGAAAGGTCTTCCTTTTGCTGTTGGTTCACCCTCCATGGCCGCCGCAGCTGGCGCGCTGCAGCCAGCGCACCACGCTGATCCGATGGCAGGAGCCAGGTGCTTCTGGTCTCCCATGGGGTGCAGGGCCCAAGGACTTGGACCATCCTCCACTGCACTCCCTGGCCACAGCAGAGAGCTGGCCTGGAAGAGGGGCAACCGGGACAGAATCCGGCGCCCCGACCGGGACTAGAACCCGGTGTGCCGGCCGCCGCAAGGCGGAAGATTAGCCTAGTGAGCCGCAGCGCCGGCCCAATCAGCATTTTAACTGCTGTGCTGAGCATCCATCCCAAAACAGTTTTGGCTGTTGGTCCTTTGAGTGTGATCTGACTTCTTTTTTTCCCGCTGCTTCTTTTTCTTCTCACTTGTTAGAATCCTGATATTTACATATAGCTCTTCTGAACTGGTTCTCTTAATTTTCTTTTCCTCCTATTATACTGTATATACTTTGACTTACTCTCTGTTTTTAACACAGTACCATAGCTCTCAGCTATACCTGGTTTTTATAGAATAATTCTATTTTATTCTCTAAAGGGGATAAAATGTCCTAGAATCTGCCATAGTGGGGATTTAACCTTTCTAAACAGTCTTTCAGCCAGTCTGTCTATGTTTAGTCTTATCTTCACCTCTGTCTGGTGTTGCCACTTTCTGTACTGTTTGGGAATTCTGCATTGTAAATCAAGTTGTTTTTAGGTTTTCCTGAGTGCCAAATTAGGAATTAGGTTTCTTGGGTTAGTTGAATCACTTAAAACTCCTCCATCTGCTTTTCAGCTTCTCAAATTTTCTGTTGGTTTTCCCTTCCCTTGCTGTTTTTGTCAATGTGGATTTATAACTTTATGTTAGGAACTACTGAGGATGAAAATAATCCATGCAAGTGTAGCAGTGAATCATTCTACCTTTGTTTAATAGGGTTTTGGAGATAGCAAAAGTAAATTTTTTTTTCTGTCATTTTAATTTTATGGATAGAAGGACCAAGCGAACTGGTGGTAAAATGGCCTTTTTCCAAGATCACATAATCAAGTTTAATTAACCAGAATTAGGGACTTTTGTTGCATTATTCCTGTGACTACACCTAAATGCATAGGTCCAAATTTTTGAATAAAATATAAAGGGGCTGGCGGGCGCTGTGGCATAGCTGGTGAAGCTGCTGCCTGCAGTGCTGGCATCTCATATGGGTGCTGGTTCAAGTCCCGGCTGTTCCACTTCCAATCCAGCTCTCTGCTATGGCCTGGGAATGCAGTGGAAATGGCTCAAGTCCTTGGGCCCCTGCACCCATGTGAGAGACCTGGAGGAAGCTACTGGCTCCTGGATCTTGGCTCCTGGCTTTGGATCGGCACAGCTCCAGCTGTTGTGGCCAACTAGGGAGTGAACCAGAGGATGGAAGACCTCTCTCTCTCTCTGCCTCTCTTCTCTGTGTAACTCTGACTTTCAAATAAATAAATAAATCTTAAAAAAAAAAAAAGCTACAAGGAAGAAATAAAAAATCTTTAAAGTTAGTCTAACAGAATGTGGATTATACAATATTAATGTTTTTGAATCACAAAATATTTTCATTCAATTCATTTCTGTGATTTTTTTTTCTTTTTGAGAAGCAGAGAGAGCTGCCATCCACTGATTGTCTCTTACTTTTAGAGAGACAGAGAGACAGCTAGACAAGATAGAGAGAGCTCCCATCTACAGATTGGCTCCCCAAATGCCCAATGACCAGGGTTGGGCCAGCGTTGGAGCCAGGAGCTAGAAACTCAATCTACGTGTCCCATGCTCTTAATGTCTACATTGATGGGAAGCTGGGCCAGGAATTTGAAGCTAGGCACTCTGGTATGGGACACATGCTTTTATTTTACTTTATTTTTAAGATCTATTTATTTATTTGAATTTGAAAGGCAGAGTTACAGAGAGGCAGAGAGCGAGAGATAGGTAGGTATCTTCCATCAGTTGATGTACTCCCCAAATGGCTGCAATGGCTAGAGCTGAGCTGATCAGCAGTCAGGAGCTTCTTCCTGGTATCCTGCAGGGACCAAATCACTTGGGCCATCTTCTGCTTCCTAGGCCGTAGCAGAGAGCTGGATTGGAAGTGGAGCAGCCAGGACTCGAACTGGCATCAAACCAGCATCCTGCGGGCACTGCAGGCAGCAGCTTTATTCCATAGGCCACAGCGCTGGCCCTGATACATGTCTCTTAACCAGTGTCTTAACCACTAAGCCAAATGCTTGCTCCCATTTTTGGAGATTTTAATGGTTTAATAGCTTTTGTTTAGAAAGCAAACATGTTGAGAATTGGTGAGGCTTTGCCTGTAAGTTATTGATACCTGAGTTTTTGTTGTTGGAATGAATAATAAAAGACCTTGAATCCCCATTTGTGTTGTTATTTAAACATGTGTTTTGCAGGCAAAGCTGAAGGCTGTAAATGATAACTGGAAAAATCTGCCTAGTTCTCAAAAACAAGTAAGTATTACAGATTTTAGTCTCAAGCATGCAATTAGAGTGTCTGTGAGAGGGCATATTTAGGCAAGGTTGATTCATATGAAAACGGCCTTGTATCAATGATAGCACAATTAAAGTAATTTAAAATTATTTTCAGGTCTTTAGACCCAGTTTTGCTCTTATTCTCCTGGTAGTTTTTGATTGTAAGTAAAATTGGTATTTAGATGCTTAGATTGGTATCTTTAAGCTTAGATTTTCTATTGTATTGAGTGGTAGTCCTATCTTGATTCCACCCTCTCCCCACACCCTAATCCCTGAATTTGTAACGATCTCATTAATACTTAAATTTTTATCTCTTTGTCTCATCTGTGCTTTTTCTCATCTAACTTTATCTCACAGAAACTTTTCTTCTCCAATCCCCCTTTATATATGTAGAATAGTGATGCAGTTTCTAAAGTATACATAGAAGCATTCTGGAAATTAATTGCTCTTTTCTGAATAAATTATTTTTAAAAATTACCCTTTTTCTCAGGTATATATTCAACTTGCTAAAGATGATAAAATTCGTTATGATAATGAAATGAAATCTTGGGAAGAACAAATGGTTGAAGTTGGACGAAGTGATCTTATACGTCGCAAAATGATGCACCATGCAAAAGATGGATCTGAGGAGAGTTAAAATAGAAGATTGAGTTGCATTCATGATGGATAGGCCTGAGAAGCTGATTAAGTCATAATACCTGATGCTGTTGTAAGATTAGAAAGGATAAAGTTGGTAAACATTTTATATTCAAATCCTTTTTCTTTAGCCCATGGACTTCTGCCAGTTTAATTCATTTTGTATTAGTATCTTTCTTTGGGAAACCCAAATAGATGAAAGTTCTTACAAAATTTATTTTATGTTAAGAACTACTGAGGATGAAAATAATCCGTGCAAGTGTAGCAGTGAATCATTCTACCTTTGATAAAGGTACACCAGACTGTGAAGTTTTTTATCTGTATGATGATGATGGGAAGAGTGTTCTTGTTTCCTTATATTATGGAGACAGGAGTTCCCTTTCCAAAATTGTGACAAATTGTAGAAGCCATAGTGTTCTATGATACAATTGTGCATTTTTAAAAAAGCAACCAGAACTCAACGAGGTCAATTGCAGTTCCGCAGTATAATTCATACAGCATTTTGAGTGGATGGTTGTACATGCAAGTTGATCATTGTTTTCAGTTGCTGCTTTTTATAAAAGGGACTGAGAAATTTATAAACCTTTCTCATCTTTTTCTTTTTCCTAAAAACTAAGAAATTCTGTACCAGACCTATGCATGTTGTTTATATTGCATAGAATAACATTTTAATCTTTAATTTTATGCTTGTGAATTACACATTTTAAGGGGAAACATTTATTTTACATCTTTCATCTTTTTCTGGATTATTTTCTTTCTCTTGTATGAATATATTTAAGCACAAAGAAAACTTGTGTAAATTTTTAAATGAGAAACTTAATAAAACCTAAGTCTCCAAAGTCTTGGGAATGTCAAAAATTTTACCTAACATATAAAGGCCTTTGTAAAACATAGCCACTATATGGTCTTGACAATTCAACCTACTTCCTGCTTTTCACGGTGAGATAAAAATTGTTTATTTTATATCATTAAAAAAGATTTATGATAAATGAAAATTAATAGGAAATTTAGTGCACATAAGCAGAGTTTTATTAGAACACAGCTTTGTTCATTCTTAGTATCTGTAGCTGCTTTTGTGTTACAGTGACAGAATGGCTGTTACCAAGACTGTAGTGTGCAAAGCCTAAAATATATATCTGGCCTTTTACAGATCAACTTTGTCAGTTTGTGTTTGGTAGTATAGTATAGTGTGACTACCCTTCCAATGAACTGATAGGTTGGAGTATTTTTTTTCATCTGTTTCAGGTGAATCATTGTGTTCCTTAAGAGAAAAAGGTTGCTACTACATAAGGCAAAAAGTTGCTTCTCAATGTTACAATGAAAATAATCTTGAGTCTCAAATTATGTTGGAGTATAAGGAAAAAGATCACATAGTATGGAATGAGATTCTCTTAATATTTGCTGTGTTCAGTAAAATGTACCTTAAAAGTTTTTCTGCTAGTACTTATCACAGAAACCTCATTGTAGTTGGGAATCTTCATTCTTTACCATTTATTTATTTTCTGAGGACAGTTAAGCAAAGGTTTTCAAAATCCACACCACCTTTTGAACAGAATAATCTTTCCTCATGAGTTTGCAGGTATAGGACAACTCAGAATTTATGTGTACTTAGTATGTTATGCGTAATACTTAAGAATTGTAGCTTCTAGCCCTCCAGAAAGACTTGGAAGATTTTTGTTGTTTGTGGATGGAAAACAAGTAAAATGTCATAAAGATGTTGTCTTATATGTTAAGTTAGACAAAAGAGGATCAGTACTGTGGCTCAGTCAGTTAAACTGCTGCCTGTGGGCACTGCTTCATGTCCAGACTGCTCCACTTCCCATCCAGCTCCTCGCTAATGTCCCTGGGAAAGCAGTGGAATATGGCCCAAATGCTTGGGCCTCTGCACCTGAGTGGAAGCTGCACCCAGAAGAAGCTCCTGGCTCCTGGTTTTGCATTGGCCCAGTTCTGGCCATTGCAGCCATTTGGAGAGTGAACCACGGGTGGAAGACCCCTCTAACTCTTTCAAATAAATAAAAATCTTAAGAAAAAAATTTTAAAAATTAGACAAAAGATAGGAACTGAAGAGAAAAATATATCTTAAGAGGAGATGTACAGTTAAATATATAAAGTTTTAAATATATAAAACTTTCTCTTATAGATATGAGTACTGAAGAAAGTCTGTTATTGGTAACAGACAACCAGAGGTTTGTGGCCAGGGTAGTTTAGAGGTAAGGGGAAAGAGGAGGTGTGCCAGTATCTGTCATAGTCTGAAGTAGGTTTGCAGGAGAGAATAATGACCTAACACCCCATGGCATCTGAAATGATTTTGATCATGGGCCATCTCAGGATAGTGTAGAAAATTGCAGCTCAAGTCCTTGACTGTTACTTCAGATGCTCAGGGAATGAAACGAAGTCAGTGTATATAATGAGCATTGTGGATTGTTGAATTAGAAAAATGAGTTATGTAAATATCTACAGGACAATGTAGCATAAGAGATATGTTTGTAGTTACTCTGCAGGGGAAATTCCTCTGAACTCTCTCAGCATTTAAATACCTGGACGATTTTATACTTAACATTCAAATCGTACCTTCCAAGATAAACTGAGGAGCTGAGGTTAGTAGGTTCTCAAGTAGTTAGAACCTAATATAGGAGGGAAAGGTATAAAACAGCAAAAGAGAGCAGAAGCATAAATGATAATATCGAATTCTGTTTGGTTTTGTTTTTAAAAATAAGTTGTTGTTAGTACTTTAAACCAGAATAATCTGATTTCCAAGCCTTTCTTTAAAAACTTTGGTACAGATTGGAGATTCAACCCTTATATAAAATTCCTTCCAGTTGCACCAATACACAGATTTTTTGCTATGAAGACTAAAAACTCCACATCAAAACCAGTAGACATAATATGGCTTTGCTCTTTAGAGTTTTCGTAATTTGACTTAACAAAGTAGTTGATGAGTGAATTAAAATGAGTGTTAGAGGGAAAGATAATGAGGAAATGAAATAAAGCAGGGTGTATGCTCTTAGAGGAGTAATCAGTCCTAAAGATTTTTATACTTTAATTCATTGGTGTGCCAATATTAGGTTTCTTGAAATAATTTGATGAGGGGAGAGAAGGTTCTATGTTTATTTTACTCTCTGATATTTACTTAGTGAATATTATGTACAAATTAAATATGCTATAATTGTATAATTTTGCTGTCGCTCTTTTTTTTTTTGGAAGTTCAATTTTTTAAAAGGCATATGTTATTCTCTGAATCAATATTTGAATATATGAAAATTTAATATATGAGCCTCTGTTTGGATTTTTGAATTTAAGAATTGATATTACTGTACTGTAAGTGGATTTAAAGTAACTAGAAAATTGTAGTGATTTTTCTGACATTTACTGTTACCTATAACTTATCAACACAAGGTTGTGCTAAAACAGCAATTTGTATATAATGAAGTGATAGTATCCCTTATTTCTCTAAATTTTACTAATATTTACTTCAAGAATACTCTTATATCCTTCACCTCACAGCTACAGTCCCTCTTCTCCATAGAAGTGTTGTAAGCACAGACTCTTATATGTTTTGAAAATTTATAACAATAATACTTTTTTAAATTGAGCTTCTGGAAAGTATAAGAAAATGAATATATTTATTACTTTAACTATGTGAAGCTTTCTAAACAGGAAGTAGAACTACTAAAGACTAGTGTCATCCTTCTTACATTTTTTGCAAATAAAGTACTTCAGGTAACTTATTAAATCACTGATTATATTTAATGTGAAATACTTAAAAACCATTCTCTAGTGCATTTCCAAATGTTTTACTGAGGAGCTAAATACAAAGATTGATCCTAAACAAGAATTTTATTTTTTTTAATATTATTATTATTATTTTATTTATTTTTTAAAAGATTCAAAAGTCTTACATCCACTGGTTCACGCCCCAGATGATTGGAGTTTTGTTGATCCGAAGACAGGAACCCTGAGCCAGGAGCTTCCTCCGGATCTCCTATGTGGATGCAGGGGCCCAAGCACTTGGGCCATCTTCTACTATTTTCCCATTAAACAAGAATTTTAAATAAACTAAACATTTTAAAATCATTTTGACATCATTTAAATCACCTTTATGTATAGGTAACAGATTTACATACCAAATCAAGGAGAAATATATTCATATTGTAGTAGATGAAATTGTAGATTCCTTCCGGGTCTAAAAATAATACTAAAGATGAATTTTGGATTGACAAATGTACTTGTCAAGAAATTTTAGTTTTATATACAGTAATTATTGTTGGCATCTTGAAATTTTGTCCATTTTCAAAATGATAACTAAGAATAAGGATTTTGGAGTCAGCTGGATTCAGATTGTGGCTTTGTCATTGTAAATTTCTAACTGTGTTTACTTGAGAGGCACAGAGACAGAGTTCCCATTTGTTAATTCCCCAAATGCCTGCAACAGCCAGGCTTGGGCTGGGTGGGCCTGAAGCCAGGAACTAGGACCTCAATCCAAGTCTCCCACATTGGTGGCAGGGACCTAACTTCTTGAGCCATTACTTGCTGCCATCTTGGAGTCTGCACTGGGAGGAAGGTAAAAGAGGGAGCCAGAGCTGAGAGTTGAACCCAGGTGGGTTGCTGGCAACTTAACTGCTAGGCTAAATGCCCACCTCTCTGCCATTCTTAAGAGAGTCACTCAACATCTGGTAACTCCATTTTCTCATCTGCAATAAATGGAAATGATAGCACCCACATTACCAGGTTGTAGTGAGGAGTAAATAAATAAATAAATGTAAGTAATTTATGAACTTGAAGTACTTAATACTTCCTGCTCTCCTTCCCGTTTCTACCCTGTCATATGAACTAATCCTGACTTCAGGTTTCATTTGTTAATGATGGATTACATCTACAACTCTGAAATATGATTCTACCTCTATAATTTATATATAAACATTGCTTCCATAAAAGGTGAATATTTTTATCACTACTACTTTCTGCAGTTTTTCTGAGTTTTAGTTTTTCCATAGGCCGAATAACTTGAATGTTTAAATTTTTTCCTTGATCATCAACTTTAGAAAATATCTCTAAACTCCAAAAGATACTGTGCCTGTTGCTCCTTCTACCTTCTTTGTTGAGCTGCCAGATTATCAGCTGTATCATTATTTCAGTGACATGTGTCTTTGTAGGAATTTGTCCATTTCTTCTAAGTTATCTTAATTTATTGGCATAAAATTGTTCATGGTATTCCTGTATAGTCCTTTTTGTTTCTGTATATAGTTCATAGTATTCCCTCTTTTAATTTCTGATTCTAGTAATTTGTATCTTGTTTCCTGTTGGTCAGTCTGGCTAAAAGTTTGACAAATTTGTTGATATTTCCAAATAATCAACTTCTGGTTTTATTGTTTTCTCTATTTTTTAAAATTTATTTATTTATCTGAAAGTTACAGAGTGAGAGAAGGGGAGAGAAAGAGAGAGAGAGAGAGAGGTCTTTTATCCACTGGTTCACTCCCCAAATGGCCACAAAAGCCGGAGCTGGGCTGATCCAAAGCCAGGAGCCATGAGCTTCTTACAGGTCTCCCACGAGGGTGCAGGGGCTCAAGGACTTTTATCATCTTCCGCTGCTTTCCCAGGCCATAGCAGAGAGCTGGGTCGGAAGTGGGGCAGCTGGAACTCAAACTGGCGCCCATATGGAATGCTGGCACTGCAGGCAGCAGCTTTACCTGCTGTGTCGCGATGTCAGCCTTGATAACTGGCGATTTTTAAAAATTGATGTTCCTGTCTACCTTAGACCTGTTAATGAGGGGCCTGAGAGAAGGGGTCCTCAAATAACTTTATTTTTTTATTTTTTATTTTTAAGTTCATATCTTAAAATTGATGTAAAGGGGAGGGTATTTAGCTTAGGGGTTTAAGAGTGCCTGGATTCAGGACTCTGACTCTCCTGCTAATGCAGATCCTCCGATGATAATGACTTTTTTTATTTTATTTTTTTTTTTACAGGCAGAGTGGACAGTGAGAGAGAGAGAGAGAAAGGTCTTCCTTTGCCGTTGGTTCACCCTCCAATGGCCACTGCGGCGGGTGCACTGCAGCCGGTATACTGTGCTGATCCGAAGGCAGGAGCCAGGTACTTATCCTGGTCTCCCATGGGGTGCAGGGCCCAAGGACTTGGACCATCCTCCACTGCACTCCCTGGCCACAGCAGAGAGCTGGCCTGGAAGAGGCAACCGGGACAGAATCCAGCACCCCGACCGGGACTAGAACCTGGTGTGCCAGCGCCGCTAGGCGGAAGATTAGCCTATTGAGTCGCGGTGCTGGCTATAATGACTTAAGTCATTGGGTTCCTGACTCCCAGTTTCAGTCTGGCCTGTTGAGTGCATTTGGGGAGTGAACTGTTGAATGGAAGCTCATTATCTGTCTCTACCTCTAAAATACATAAATATAAGTTGATAGAACAACTTTAAAAGGTTATGAAGAATTACACTTCAGGGGCTGGCGCTGTGGTGTAGTGAGTAAAGCTGCTGCCTGCAGTGCCAGCATCCCATATGGGTGCCGGTTCTAGTCCTGGCTGCTCCACTTCCGATCCAGCTCTCTGCTATGGCCTGGGAAAGCAGTAGAAGATGGCCCAAGTCCTTGGGCCCCTGCACCCACATGGGAGACTGGGAAGAAGCTCCTGGCTCCTGGCTTCGGATTGGCGCAGCTCCGGCTTTTGTGGCCAGTTGGGGAGTGAACCATCAGATGGAAGACCTCTCTCTCTCTCTCTCTGCCTCTGCCTCTGCCTCTACCTCTACCTCTATCTCTACCTCTCCTTCTCTCTCTGTGTAACTGACTTTCAGTAAAGTAAATAAATCTTAAAAAAAAAAAAAAGGAATTACACTTCTAACATAGTAAATATAGACTTAGAAAGTGGAAGTTACATCACTTTGTGTGTGTGTCTGTGTGTGTGTATACATAAAATGGGCATTTGAGCCTTGGCCCAGCTTTGGCAGTTGCAGGCATCTGGGGAGTAAACCAGTTTTTAGATTTCTCTTTCTACCTTTGAAATAAATATTTATTTTAAAAACAAATGTATATAATGCTTTCTGAACACCATAGTATAACAAACTTAATGGGAAATTTTTGCACCATTCCATTTCACAACCTCGACAGGATTTTATCTACTAATGTATTTTTGTGCTTGGATGCCTCTTTATTTATTACCTTGTTGTAATTCTCTGAAGCAGAAATATGTACATAAATTTGAATTGAACTTTTAAAATTTTCCATGTCCATAATCTTTAAGTACTTAAAATTTCTGGAATATATAATCACTGTAATTTACTGTTAGAATGCAGTCACTAAAATCAACAGTAATGTATTACAGTGGTGTGGGGGTACAAAATCAGTTTCCTTCCATAGATGATAAAACTTAAATATGGTATGTTTATACAACGGAATACTCAGCAATAAAAAGCACCAAGCTATTTATATACACATGAGCATTTGTGGATTTTGAAAGTGTTGTACTGAGTGACAGAAGCCAGGTATCAGTATATACTGTATGATTCCATTTATATTAACAGCAAACCAACGTGTAGTGACAAAAAGCAGACAAGTTGCTCCTTGGAATTGGTGGTGGAGGAAGGGACAGATTGCACAGGTTAGGAAGAAACTGTGAGGCATGGTGGTGATTTTGTTCTGTTTTTGAGTGCAGCAGTGAGTTCATGAGTGTAATCGTTGGTCAGAATTCAGGAGTTGCACGGTTTCAATCAATGTATCTTTTTGTACATAAATTATATTTGGGTGAAGTTGATAAAAACAGGATTCAGGTTCTTATAAATATCAAATAAAATTTTTATTGGAAGTATATGGAAGAACAAACCCCTACCCAAAGGAGTAAAAATCTTTTACTTGTTTTTGAACCACAGCTATGAGAACTAAAAATTCACTCTCCCTCCCCAAAAGTGACCTTGTTATTTTATTACTCTGTCCCTGACTTCATTCCTTCCACTTTTTTGCTATTTCTCGCATATGCCAGATTTAGGTACTCACTTCTGGGCCTTTGCTCTGGCTTTTCCTGAAATTGTTCCCCAGTTGCCACATGCTTTTCTTCATTCCTTACTGTTTTTTTTAAATGTCTTCTTTCCTAGTGGGGCTTCTCTGAGCATCCTTTAACATGGTAATTTGTACTTCCATGCCCACATTCTTATCTCTTTCCTCCAGTGAAATTACTTCTTTTTCTTCATTCCATAGATCCTCACACATCTAAATACTACATGATTTTCCCATTCGGGTTGTAATTCGTTGCCATTAGGATGTGTACTCTGCACAGAAATCTTTGTTCTCTGTTGTACCCCTGCACCTAGAATTGTGTCTGGTACTTAGTCAAGTAAGAAAATCAATGAAATTAGCCTTAAAACTGAAGACTTTGCATGTTAGTGTTTATGTAGATCAGTAAGATCACTCATTAAAAACTTGACCCTTTTAGGGGCCTCTGTGAGAGTACCTCATCTGAAATAGAAACAAAAATCCTTCAGTTCTGAGGCTAATTTAAGTGTTTTTGAGAAAAAGCTAGCAGGTTATAAGTACTCTGGAATTCAGGAACATTGAGTATTGTAACTCGAATGATAACACAGACTCTAGAATGTGAGACTAGATGATATAGAGCTAAGCACTTGCTCTTCTTTTACTATGAGAATGCCATACCTAGGAGGAACAGTAATTTAGGATGGTTGGCCTGTTGTGTTCAGTGGCCCAACTGGAAGGATGTACATATGTAGGGCCATTGTCTGAGGGGTGGGGGGAGACAATTCTTTCAGCATCTGTATAGATGGCTCTTTTTATTTATTTATTTTTGACAGAGTGGACAGTGAGAGAGAGAGACAGAGAGAAAGGTCTTGCTTTTGCCATTGGTTCACCCTCCAATGGCCGCCGCAGCCAGCGCACCACGCTGATCCGAAGGCAGGAGCCAGGTACTTATCCTGGTCTCCCATGTGGGTGCAGGGCCCAAGCACTTGGGCCATCCTCCACTGCACTCCCTGGCCACAGCAGAGAGCTGGCCTGGAAGAGGAGCAACCGGGACAGAATCCGGCGCCCCGACCGGGACTAGAACCCGGGGTGCCGGCGCCGCTAAGTGGAGGATTAGCCTAGTGAGCCGTGGCGCCGGCCTAGATGGCTCTTTAAATAGAGTAGATGAAATGTGGATCAGACTAGAACAAGGCTGGTGCTGTGGCATAGAGGGTAAATGGGTGCTGGTTGGAGTCTCAGCTGATCCACTTTTTTTTTTTTTTTAAGATTTTTTTTATTTGTAAGTCAGTTACACAGAGAGAAGCAGAGGCAGAGAAAGCAAGGTCTTCCATCTGCTGGTTCACTCCCCAGCTGGCCACAACTGCTGGAGCTGTGCTGAAGTCAGGAACTACCTCTGGGTCTCCCATGCGGGTGCAGGGACCCAAGGACTTGAGCCCTCTTCTGCTTTCTCAGGCCACAGCAGAGAGCCGAATTGGAAGTGGAGCAGCTGGGACTCGAACCAGCACTCAAATGGGATGTTGACACTGCAGGTGGCAGCTTTACCCGCTACGCCACAGTGCCAGCCCCTGCTCCACTTCTGATCCAGCTCCTTTCTTTTTTTTTTTTTAATTTTTTTTAATTTTTTTTTAATTTTTGACAGGCAGAGTGGACAGTGAGAGAGAGAGACAGAGAGAAAGGTCTTCCTTTGCCGTTGGTTCACCCTCCAATGGCCGCCGCGGCCGGCGCGCTGCGGCTGGCGCACCGCGCTGATCTGATGGCAGGAGCCAGGAGCCAGGTGCTTTTCCTGGTCTCCCATGGGGTGCAGGGCCCAAGCACCTGGGCCATCCTCCACTGCACTCCCTGGCCACAGCAGAGAGCTGGCCTGGAAGAGGGGCAACCGGGACAGAATCCGGCGCCCCAACCGGGACTAGAACCCGGGGTGCCGGCGCTGCTAGGTGGAGGATTAGCCTAGTGAGCCGCGGCGCTGGCCTATCCAGCTCCTTTCTAACACCTGGGAAAGCAGCAGAAGATGGTTCAAGTACTTGAGCCCCTGCACCCATGAAGGAGATGCTCTGGCCGTTGCTGGTCATTTGGGAAATAAACCAGCGGATGGAAGATTTCTGTATCTGGCGCTCCTGCCCTTTCCAACTCTGACTTTCAAATATATCAGTAAGTCTTTTTTATAAAGATTTATTTATTATTTATTTGAAAGAGTTACACAGAGAAGAAGAGGCAGAGAGCGAGCGAGCTTCCATCCTCTGGTTCACTCCCCAACTGGCTGTAATGGCCAGAGCTGTGCTGATCTGAAGCCAGAAGCCAGGAGCTTCTTCTGAGTCTCCCACGTGGGTGCAGGGACCCAAGGAATTAGGCTATCTGCTGCGTTCCCCGGCCATAGCAGAGAACTGGATCGGAAGTGGAGCAGCTGGCATTGGAACCGGCACCCATATAGGATGCACTGCAGGCGGCGGCTTTACCCACTGTGCCACAGCTCTGGCCCCAATAAATAAGTCTTTAAAAAAAAATGAATAGGAAGCAATTGAATCAGGGTTAAGGAGATGTCTGCTTAATCTTCCTCTTCCCATCGATGCTAACACATCTCAACCCCATCCTTGGGTAACATGAGAGCTTTCAGACACATCATGGACACCTAGCTTGTCAGTGCCTGTATTATTTCCAAATCTAAGTATGTGCACCTTTGACAGAAGATTGCCATAGCTTAGTGTCTTAGCTTAGTTAAGCACCTGAATCAACAAATGGAGACAGAAACTCAGAACTGAGAAGAGGTTGTGTGTTTACTGTCAGCATTTAAAGGGCCTGCAAAGTCTGGACTAGATAAAGTGAATAACAGTCTCCAGGAGGTTCAGTTTATCGGCCCAGTGAAGAATGGGGTGAAGGCAGATGTGCAGGGGTCAGAGAAGCAGACAACGGACGATATTTACTTTTTTTTTTTTTTTTTTTGACAGGCAGAGTGGACAGTGAGAGAGAGAGACAGAGAGAAAGGTCTTGCTTTTGCCATTGGTTCACTCTCCAATGGCCGGCGCCCTGCGGCCGGTGCACTGCGCTGATCCAATGGCGGGGGCCAGGTGCTTCTCCTGGTCTCCCATGGGGTGCAGGACCCAAGCACTTGGGCCATCCTCCACTGCACTCCCTGGCCACAGCAGAGAGCTGGCCTGGAAGAGGGGCAACCGGGACAGAATCCGGCGCCCCGACCAGGACTAGAACCCGGGGTGCCGGTGCCGCAAGGCGGAGGATTAGCCCAGTGAGCCGCGGCGCCGGCCTGGACAATACTTACAGACAAGTAGAAGCAGCGGTAATGCCTCACCGTGCTGGGGGCCAGACTGGACAAGCACCTAAGGGAGGGTTTCTAGTACAGAGGCACTGTGAGGTGCCTGGGAGGCCAGGATTCTGTTAGCGGCCCCACCTCAGACAGCAATTAACAAGTCCACATGCAGTTGCAGGAGCTGATGTGGAGTAGTAAGATATGTCAAGAAGTCTGAGAGCACTAGGAGACCAGGAAACATTCAGATTTTGAGAGCCCTTACTCTTGGAATTAAGGGAGTTGGAGACACTAGTATAGAGAGATTTCAATTCAAGATGGATTTTGATTAGCATTAGAAGTCCAACCTTGAAAGCAGCATTGAGAGTCAACATGGGTGCCGGCGCTATGGCATAGCGGGTAAAGCCACCGCCTGCGGTGCCGGCATCCCTTAATATAGGTGCTGGTTCGTGTCTACTTCCAATACAGCTCTGTGCTGTGGCCTTGGAAAGCAGTGGAGGATGGCCCAAGTCCTTGGGCCCCTGCATCTGCATGGGAAAACCTGGAGGAAGCTCCTGGCTCCTGGCTTCGGATCCGCAGTTCCGGCCGTTGCGGCCTGCTGGGGAGTGAACAAGTGGATGGAAGACCTCTCTTTTTCTCTCTCTGCCTCTCTTTTTCTTTGTGTAACGCTGACTTTCAAATAAATAAATAAATCTCAGCTAGAAGAAAATAAAGAGAGTCAATGTGGCATGGTGATAGCAGCCCCTACTTTACAGTCTTATTTTGTAGATTAAATCCTTAGGGGCCGGCGCCGCGGCTCACTAGGCTAATCCTCCACCTAGCGGTGCCGGTACACCAGGTTCTAGTCCCGGTCAGGGTGCCGGATTCTGTCCCAGTTGCCCCTCTTCCAGGCCAGCTCTCTGCTGTGGCCAGGGAGTGCAGTGGAGGATGGCCCAAGTGCTCGGGCCCTGCACCCCATGGGAGACCAGGAGAAGCACCTGGCTCCTGCCTTCGATCAGCGTGGTGTGCCAACCGCAGCGTGCCTGCCGGGGTGGCCATTGGAGGACGAACCAACGGCAAAGGAAGACCTTTCTCTGTCTCTCTCACTGTCCACTCTGGCTGTAAAAAAAAAAAAAAAAAAAAAAAAAAGTTAGTATTTATCATTTAGAACAACATGTTACACAGTAAGCATTAAATATGTATAAGGAACATAAATTTTGTTCCATGTC